CCCCCCCCCCCCCCCCCCCCCCCCCCCCCCGTCTTTTTTTGCTCATCAACTGCACTCAGAGAGCACAGATCGGGTAGCCTACAGGCTCGTCCCCGAGTTTGTGGGGCGATTCCTTGTGTTATTGTTATACCCCTCCAGATCCTCCCTCCCCATCGTTCAACATCCCTCCCCACCCGTCCCCACCCCTCCCTACCCCTCTGGAACGGCAGGCAGAGAGCACGGATCTGATAGCCTATGGGCTCATCCCTGAGTTTGTGGGGCGATTCCCCGTGCTGGTGGGGCTGCATGCGCTCACAGAGGAGCAACTCGTGCAGGTAATGACTGATGCAGGTAGTGACTTGTGCAGGTAATGACTGGTGCAGGTAATGACTGATGCAGGTAGTGACTTGTGCAGGTAATGACTGGTGCAGGGTACGGTGTAACAGGCTAACAAAAGGTACGGCGGTTACTAAGGCTGTGTATGAGGTACGTACAGCAGTTACCGAGGCACTGCTTGAGGTACGACGGCAGTTACCAGGCTGTGTATGAGGTTACTGTGATCGCCAGTGTGGACCTGGTATTGTTGTGAAGGCAATGTTGTTGGATGAGGTATCATGGGGGCTCGGAGGGGAGGTGGGGTTAACCTGCTCGGAGGGGAGGTGGGGTTAACCTGCTCGCTGCTTCCCTCCATCCATCCCTCCATTCCGTCCTTCCCACCCCAACTCCCCAGGTCCCCAGCAATCTGGTGGAAGCAGTGGTGCTGGACGAGGCATCGGTGGGGCACGAGGGGGAGGAAGGGGAAGAGGGCAAGCCGGTGTGCAACTGTGTCCTTGATCATTGCCCTCATTCCACGCCCATCCGTCATCTCATGCCCCAACCCACCAGGTCCCCCAGCAGTCTAGTGAAGGCAGTTGTGTTGGACAAGGCATCGGTGGGCACGAGGGGGAGGAGGGGGGCGACGGGGTAACCTGCACTCTGCCATCATCCATCCATCCCTCCTATCCCTGCTCTTCCAAGCCTGATCTTCCCGTCCCTGCCATCCCTGCCATCCCCACCAGGTCCCCAGCTCTCTGGTGGAAGCAGTGGTGCTGGACGAGGCATCGGTGGGCACGAGGGGGAGGAGGGCGAGGACGGGGTACCGGGGTGTGGGGCCCACATACTGCAAGGGGAGGGCTCGTGGGAGCGGTGGTTGCAGGATAACGAGGGGGGAGGAGAGAAGGCGGGAGGGAAGGGAGAGGAGGGGCCAAGGGGGAGGAAGCAAGGGAGGCTCATCTGGGGGAGGTGGAAGTGATGAGGAATCGGATGCAGCTCCTGCTCTTGCCACAGCCACTGCAGCTTGATCTGCCTTGTCGTCTCCTGTCGAGCACCTGTCTACCACGCTTGGACTCTTCTCAGCTCCTGCACTTGCCACAGCCACTGCAGCTTGATCTGCCTTGTCGTCTCCTGTCGAGCACCTGTCTACCACGCTTGGACTCTGCTCAGCTCCTGCACTTGCCACAGCCACTGCAGCTTGATCTGCCTTTGTCGTCTCCTGTCGAGCACCTGTCTACCACGCTTGGACTCTGCTCAGCTCCTGCACTTGCCACAGCCACTGCAGCTTGATCCGCCATGCCACTGCATCTTCCCATCCAGCATCTGTCTACTACCCCTTCTATTGTGGTGGACTGGGGGATGTCACCGTGCTAGAGCGTGCTGCTAGGTATCGGTGTATCCTTGCCGCTCGGAAGGTGGGATTGCAGGATGTTTTCATCATCTGTGTGGTATATGCCTCCTCTTCTCTCTCGCTCGGAGTTCAAACAGTTTGTCTGCCTCCGATTGCATGTTTTCCTGCAAGTACTGTACTGCATGTATGATATACGTAGAGCAAACAAGGGGTACTATAACGCAGAGCGTGGACAATAAAGAGAGTGACAATAGCGAGAGGGGAGATGAAACCCCCCATGCCCCCCCCAAGGGCCCCCCCTAAGGCCCCCCTAAGGCCCCCCTAAGGCCCCCCTAAGGCCCCCCTAAGGCCCCCCTAAGGCCCCCCTAAGGCCCCCCTAAGGCCCCCTAAGGCCCCCCTAAGGCCCCCCTAAGGCCCCCCTCAGGCCCCCCTAAGGCCCCCTAAGGCCCCCCCTAAGGCCCCCCTAAGGCACCCCTAAGGCCCCCCTAAGGCCCCCCTAAGGCCCCCCTAAGGCCCCCCCCTAAGGCCCCCCTAAGGCCCCCCTAAGGCCCCCCTAAGGCCCCCTAAGGCCCCCCTAAGGCCCCCTAAGGCCCCCCTAAGGCCCCCCTAAGGCCCCCCTAAGGCCCCCCTAAGGCCCCCCTACCCCCAAATCCCCTCCAAATCCCCTCACAGCCCCCCACAGCCCCCCCAACCCCCAATCCCTGGCATGGCATCTATCCCAGGCATGGCATGGCATGGTCCTGGTTCTGGTCCTGGTCCTGGTCTTGTTCCTGGTTCTGGTTCTGGTCTTGGTCCTGGTCTTGTTCCTGTTCCTGGTCCTGGTCCTGGTCCTGTTCCTGTTCAGGTTCCTGGTCCTGGTATTGTTCTTGTTCCTGTTCAGGTTCCTGTTCCTGTTCATGTTCCTGTTCCTGTTCATGTTGTCAGAAGGTGGCTGGAACAGTAACAAGACGGCACGAACAGCAGCTGGGCGGCAGCAACAGTAACCAGGTGGCCATAGCAGTAACTGGGCGGCTGGAACATTAACCGGGCAGCTGGAGCGATTACCAGGCTGGTGAAGTGGTAACCAGGCGGCTGGAGCGATAACCGGGCGGCTGGAACGGTAAGCAGGCGACAGGAACAGTAACCGGGCGGCATAAACAGCAGCCGGGCGGCATGAACAGTAACCGGGCTTGCAGGCGCCAAGGCTAGGCCAAACCCACCCCGTGCCTAGCCTTGCCCAAACCCACCCCGCAGCTCTTATATATCGACACACGCACACACAAGTACCGTACAAAACAAGAGCAAGGTGCATGTCCTTGTAAATATCCTACTTGTAGATGTGCCTCTATCTTGGCGGGGTGAGAAGGTCTCTTCACGGCGCCCTGCAGCGAGAGAAGGCCACCTGCGCAAGGCGGGGTGGGGAGGGGTGGCAGGATGGCAGGTGTGACAGCATGGCTCTCCGAGCCTCATCCAGACCAGAGCGGAGAGTGAACAGTGCAGGATGGGAACCAGTGGGGTGAACAGTGCGGGATGGGGAAACAGTGGGGTGAGCAGTGCGGGATGGGGAAGCAATAGGATGAACAGTGGGGGATGGGAAAACAGGGGGGTGAGGAGGAGTGCAGAGCAAGGGAACAACGAGTGCAGAGCAAGGGAACGACGAGTGCAGAGCAAGGGAACGACGAGTGCAGAGCAAGGGAACGACGAGTGCAGAGCAAGAGCATAGGAGAAGGGGGCCAGGAGAGTGAGAGCATAGGAGAAAGGGGCCAGGAGAGTGAGAGCATAGGAGAAGGGGGCCAGGAGAGTGAGAGCATAGGAGAAGGGGGCCAGGAGAGTGAGAGCATAGGAGAAGGGGGCCAGGAGAGTGAGAGCATAGGAGAAGGGGGCCAGGAGAGTGAGAGCATAGGAGAAGGGGGCCAGGAGAGTGAGAGCATAGGAGAAGGGGGCCAGGAGAGTGAGAGCATAGGAGAAGGGGGCCAGGAGAGTGGGGACCGTTGTCTCACCTCGTGCCTCACTGGCTTCGCCTTAGCCTCGCCGCACCGTTGCCCAGCTGCGCCCGTCACTGTCGGCAGAAACGAGCAAGGGCAGAAACGAGCAAGGGCGGAAACGAGCACGAGGACATGGCATGGCATGGTAATCGGGCGGCATGAACAGTAACGGGGCGGCAGGAGCAGTGACGGGCGGCAGGAGCAGTGACCGGGCGGCAGGAGCAGTGACCGGGCGGCACGAGCAGTGACGGGCGGCACGAGCAGAGACGGGCGGCACGAGCAGAGACGGGCGGCACGAGCAGTGACGGGCGGCACGAGCAGTGACGGGCGGCACGAACAGTGACGGGCGGCACGACCAGTGACGGGCGGCACGACCAGTGACGGGCGGCACGACCAGTGACGGGCGGCACGACCAGTGACGGGCGGCACGACCAGTGACGGGCGGCACGACCAGTGACGGGCGGTACGACCAGTGACGGGCGGCACGACCAGTGACGGGCGGCATCAACAGTGACGGGCGGCATGAACAGTGACGGGCGGCATGAACAGTGACGGGCGGCATGAACTGTAACCGGGCAGCGGGAACAGTAACCAGGCTTGTAGGGGCCAAGGCTAGCCCAAACCTACCCCGTGCCTAGCCCAAACCCACCCCGCAACTCTTATATCGACACACGCACAAGTACCATACAAACAAGAGCAAGGTGCATGTCCTAATAAATATCCTACTTGTAAGTATGTCTCGTGTCTTGGCGGGGTGAGAAGGTCTCTTCACGGTGCCCCGCAGAAAGGAGAGAAGACCTTTCTGCACAAGGCGGGGTGGGGAGGGATGGCAGGTGTGACAGCATGGCGGATGGTTTAGAAACCATGGCAGAGGTTTAGGGTGCAGCACAGGTGAGTGGAGGGGAGCAGAGCACGTGAGTGAGTGAGGAGCAATAGGAGCGAGCGCGAGGGGCCTCACCTCACTGGCCTCAACAGGTCTGCCCAGAGCGCTCCAAGTCTGCCCCAACCCTTTTTGAGGTGCCTCAAAAATCTGCCCAGGGCGCGCCGAGTCTGCCCCAACCTTTCCGAGGAGAGGAGGTGAACGGAGGGAAGGAGAGGTTTTAGCATAGGGGCTGGCGGAGGGCGGAACGAGGAGGAGGGCGGAACGAGGAGGAAGGGCGCAACGAGGAGGAAGGGCGCAACGAGGAGGAAGGGCGCAACAAGGAGGAAGGGCGCAACGAGGGGGAGGGCGGAACGAGGAGAAAGGGCGGAGGAACGAACAAGGGCAGAATGACGGAAGTGGAACGAGCAAGTGCGGAACGAGCAAGGGCGGAACGAGCAAGTGCGGAACGAGCAAGGGCGGAACGAGCAAGTGGGGAACGAGCAAGGGCGGAACGAGCAAGTGTGGAACGAGCAAGTGCGGAACGAGCAAGGGTGGAACGAGCAAGTGGGGAACGAGCAAGGGCGGAACGAGCAAGGGTGGAACGAGCAAGTGCGGAACGAGCAAGGGTGGAACGAACAAGGTGAGAAGAAACGCAGTCTGGCAGCAGAGAAAGAAACACCTCTGATTCCAACTATTCTGTGGGAGATCGATTTCATTCTAACACAGCGAGTAGGTGCTGATAGTTTGAAAGAGAGATCAGCGCTGCTGTTCGATAGAAGCGAGCAGGGCGTAATCGGTGGTGGCGAGGACTACTAGGACGAGGTCGATGACAATGAGAGAGGCAAGGAAGGAGCGGCCGTGGTGAGAGAAGAAACGCAGTCTATGCACTCGTCTCTGCAGTCGTCTCTCGACCTGTTTGAGGGACTTAGAAACGTAAAAACGTGCGTTGCTCGACAATTTCGCGACCGTTCGACGGTGAGGTCCGACCGAGCCACCTCGCGCGCACGTGCGTTCGCTCCGCGCAGCGACCCGTGTGACATGACATCGCATCATGCTGCAAACTAAACGGACATCAAACGCGATATTCGCTAATGAGAAAAAGCGCGGGACGGCTAAACGAAAGCGCTGCGCAGGGTGCAGCGCGAGGCGAGCAGGACGACGACTATCTAACGACCGCGAGGCGCACGAACAAACACGCGACTAGGACCTTAGCGAATGACACAGCAGCGGATTAGGTGGCTGTGACTGTAATTCTAGCTGCATAGTAGGTATGAGGGAAGAAGGTTCGAGTAGACCCGAAGACGGTTTGGGCTGAGGCAGCAGCGGGATGGATGGGACGGGTAGCTACCCAACCCCACCCACACAATGTTTTGTAACATTGTGGGCAGTAGAAACAAAAGTAGGAACATATCGAACCATAAAGGGTGTATTCTGACCACTCCTACTAGTGTAAAATCTCTTCGATTTTACTGTAGGTTGTGTGAAAGGTATCCAAACCCAAACCGAAATGGAAAAAAAAAAAAAACAAAAGAGAAATACACCCACATCTCCAATGGGTTTCAAAGCCTGTTCCAGCGCGCTTGTCGTGGTGGAACAGGTCAAGAAAAAAAAAAACACCCACCAATGAAAATTCAAAGCCTTGTCCAGCGCACGGATCGCGCGGTGAAACAGGTCAAGAATGATAGTATTACGGTGAGGTTGGTTCCAATATACAGCGCGGTTCCGACGAATCCAAATTTACATAGTGTATATATTTCTTTTGCTACTCAACTAGCATCAATAGATGTTTGTATTCGAATGTGAATTGTTAAATGGGCATACGAGAAGATAAACAAAGGACACACATAATGGCAGTAGAAGTTGCGTAAACGGGAATCGCAAGCAAATATGCGTGAGGACGTATAAATCACACGATGCATACTAAACAAAAACGCAATAAATGTGTAATTCATGTCAATATTATCAATACGATAATCGATACGACGACGAGGACGACGAGGAGGGCAAGGAGGAGGAGGAGGACGACGACGACGAGGAGGAGGAGCAGGGGCGGACGAGGAGGAGGGCGACGACGAGGACGACAAGGAGGATGAGGACGAGGACGAGGAGGACGTGGAGGACGAGGACGAGGACGATGACGAGGAGGAGGAGGAGGAGGAGGAGGAGGAGGAGGAGGAGGAGGAGGAGGAGGAGGAGGAGGAGGAGGAGGAGGAGGAGGAGGAGGAGAGGAGCAGGAGGAGCAGGAGGAGCAAGAGGAGGAGGAGGAGGAGGAGGAGGAGGAGGAGGAGGAGGAGGAGGAGGAGGAGGAGGAGGAGCAGGAGGAGCAAGAGGAGGAGGAGGAGGAGGAGGAGGAGGAGGAGGAGGAGGAGGAGGAGGAGGAGGAGGAGGAGGAGGAGGAGGAACAGGAGGAGGAGGAGGAACAGGAGGAGGAGGAGGAAGGAGGAGGAGGAGGAGGAGGAGGAGGAGGAGGAGGAGGAGGAGGAGGAGGAGGAGGAGGAGGAAACACAAGCACAAGCAGCAAACAGTAAGTAGGAAATGCTCAATAGAAGTAGGACACACCAGCACGAGCACAAGCAGCAAACTGTGGTAGTGAGCATCCTCCTCACCATCGAGCAGCAAGAGGAAATGCTCTGCAGCAGTAGGACACACCAGCACGAGCACAAGCAGCAAACGGTAATTGTGAGCATCCGCCTCACCGTCGAGCAGCAGCAGAAAATACTAAGCAGAAGTAGGACACACCAGCACGAGCACAAGCAGCAAACAGTAGTAGTGAGCATCCGCCTCACCATCGAGCAGCAACAGGAAATGCGCAGCAGCAGTAGGAAACACCAGCATGAGCCAAGCAACAAACTGTAGTTGTGAGCATCCGCTTCACCATCGAGCAGCAACATGAAATGCTCAGCAGTAGTAGGAAACATCAGCACGAGCACAAGCAGCAAACGGTAGTTGTGAGCACCCGCCTCACTATCGAGCAGCAACAAAAAATGCTCAGCAGAAGTAGGAATCACCAACACGAGCACAAGCAGCAAACTGTAGTAGTGAGCTTCCGCCTCACCATCGAGCAGCAACAGGAAATGCTCAGGAGCACCATCACGCGCACAAGCAGCAAGCGGCGGTTGTGAGCATCCGCCTCACCATCGAGTAGCAACAGAAAATGCTCATCAGTAGTAGGACACACCAGCACGAGCACAAGCAGCAAACTGTGGTAGTGAGCATCCGCCTCACCATCGAGCAGCAAGAGAAAACGCTCAGCAGCAGTATGATACACCAGCACGAGCACAAGCAGCAAATGGTAGTTGTGAGCATCTGCCTCACCATCGAGCAGTAACGGAAAATGCTCAGCAGAAGTAGGACACACCAGCACGAGCACAAGCAGCAAACGGTACTAGCGAGCATCCGCCTCATCATTGAGCAGCAACAAGAAATGATCGGCAGCAGTAGGACACACCAGCACGAGCACAAGCAGCAAACGGTAGTTGTGAGCATCCGCCTCACCATCGAGCAGCAACAGGAAATGCGCAGCAGCAGTAGAAAACACCAGCACAAGCACAAGCAGCAAACTGTAGTAGTGAGCATCAACACCACCATCGGGCAGCAACAGGAAACGCTCAGCAGCAGTAGGAAACATCATCATGAGCACAAGCAGCAAACGGTAGTTGTGAGCATCCGCATCACCATCGAGCAGCAACAGGAAATGCTCAGCTGCAGTAGGAAACACCATCACGAGCACAAGCAGCAAACGGTAGTTGTGAGCATTCGCCTCACCATCGAGCAGCAACAGAAAATGCTCAGCAGCAGTAGGACACACCCGCACAAGCACAAGCAGCAAACGGTAGTTGTGAGCATCCACATCACCATCGAGCAGCAACAGGAAATGCTCAGCAGCAGTAGGAAACACCATCACGAGCACAAGCAGCAAACGGTAGTTGTGAGCATCCGCATCACCATCGAGCAGCAACAGGAAATGCTCAGCAGCAGTAGGAAACACCATCACGAGCACTAGCAGCAAACGGTAGTTGTGAGCATCCGCAGCACCATCGAGCAGCAACAGAAAATGATGAGCAGCAGTAGGAAACACCAGCACAAGCACAAGCAGCAAGCGACAGTTGTGAGCATCCGCGTCACCATCGAGCAGCAACAGAAAATGCTCAGCAGTGGTAGGAAACACCAACATGAGTATAGGCGGGGGAGGAGGAGGAGGAGGAGGAGGGAGGAGGAGGAGGAGGAGGAGGAGGAGGAGGAGGAGGAGGAGGAGGAGGAGGAGGAGGAGGAGGATGAGGAGGAGGAGGAGGAGGAGGAGGTTGAGTGCAATGCTGGTCCGTTGTGTGCGGTCATTGGTGGTGCTGAGTGCCCGTGAGCGGTGACACGCGGTGATGAGCGCTGATTAGGTTGGGAGCGGTGTCGAGTGGCTGTGAGTGGCTCTCGGATATTCAGAGTGGCAGTGAGCAGCGCTGAGCTGTTGTGTGTGGTCATTGGTGGTGCTGAGTGCCGGTGAGTGGTGACGAGCTGTGACGAGTGGTGATGAGCGGCTCAGAGAGGTGCGGAGTGGTGATGAGCGGCTTTGAGCGGTGCCGAGTGGTGATGAGCGGCTGTGAGTGGTGCAGAGTGCTGCAGAGCGGTTCAGAGCAGCAGTGAGCGGTGCTGGGCCGTTGTGTGCGGTCATTGCTGGTGCTGAGCGCCCGTGGGTGGTGAGGAGTAGTGATGAGCCACTCTGAGAGGTGCCAAGTGGTGATGAGCTGCTCTGAGCGGTGCCGAGTGCTGCAGAGCAGTTCAGAGCAGCAGTGAGTGGTGATGGGTCGTTGTGTGCGATGATTGGTGGTGCTGAGCGCCCGTGAGCGGTGACGAGAAGTGATGAGCCACTCAGAGAGGTGCCGAGTGGTTATGAGCGGCTCTGAGCGGTGCCGAGTACTGCAACAAGGTTCAGAGCGGCAATGAGAAGTATTGGGCCTTTGTGTGCGGTCATGGTGGTGCTGAGCGCCCGTGAGTGGTGACGAGCGGTGACGAGGGGTGATGAGCGACAAAGAGAGGTTTCCAGTGGTGATGAGCGGCTCTGAGGCGTGCCGAGTGCTGTAGAGTGGTACAGAGCGGCAGTGAGCGGTGCTGGGCCATTGTGTGCGGTCATTGGTGGTGCTGAGCGCCCGTGAGTGGTGACGAGCGGTGACGAACAATGACGAGCTTCTCAGAGAGGTGCCGAGTGGTGATGAGCGGCTCCGAGCGGTGCGGAGTTCTGCAGCGCGGTTCAGAACGGCAGTGAGAGGTGTTGGGCCTTTGTGTGCGGTCATTGGTGGTGCTGAGCGCCCGTGAGTGGTGATGAGCGGTGACTAGTGGTGATGAGCAACAGAGAGAGGTGTCGAGTGGTGATGAGCGGATCTGAGCGGTGCCAAGTGCTGCAGAGTGGTTCAGAGCGGCAGTGAGCGGTGGGTGCTGGGCTGTTCTGTTGTGTGTGGTCATTGGTGGTGCTGAGTGCCCGTGAGCGGTGACACGCGGTGATGAGCGCTGATTAGGTTGGGAGCGGTGTCGAGTGGCTGTGAGTGGCTCTCGGATATTCAGAGTGGCAGTGAGCAGCGCTGAGCTGTTGTGTGTGGTCATTGGTGGTGCTGAGTGCCGGTGAGTGGTGACGAGCTGTGACGAGTGGTGATGAGCGGCTCAGAGAGGTGCGGAGTGGTGATGAGCGGCTTTGAGCGGTGCCGAGTGGTGATGAGCGGCTGTGAGTGGTGCAGAGTGCTGCAGAGCGGTTCAGAGCAGCAGTGAGCGGTGCTGGGCCGTTGTGTGCGGTCATTGCTGGTGCTGAGCGCCCGTGGGTGGTGAGGAGTAGTGATGAGCCACTCTGAGAGGTGCCAAGTGGTGATGAGCTGCTCTGAGCGGTGCCGAGTGCTGCAGAGCAGTTCAGAGCAGCAGTGAGTGGTGATGGGTCGTTGTGTGCGATGATTGGTGGTGCTGAGCGCCCGTGAGCGGTGACGAGAAGTGATGAGCCACTCAGAGAGGTGCCGAGTGGTTATGAGCGGCTCTGAGCGGTGCCGAGTACTGCAACAAGGTTCAGAGCGGCAATGAGAAGTATTGGGCCTTTGTGTGCGGTCATGGTGGTGCTGAGCGCCCGTGAGTGGTGACGAGCGGTGACGAGGGGTGATGAGCGACTAAGAGAGGTGTCCAGTGGTGATGAGCGGCTCTGAGGCGTGCCGAGTGCTGTAGAGTGGTACAGAGCGGCAGTGAGCGGTGCTGGGCCATTGTGTGCGGTCATTGGTGGTGCTGAGCGCCCGTGAGTGGTGACGAGCGGTGACGAACAGTGACGAGCTTCTCAGAGAGGTGCCGAGTGGTGATGAGCGGCTCCGAGCGGTGCGGAGTTCTGCAGCGCGGTTCAGAACGGCAGTGAGAGGTGTTGGGCCTTTGTGTGCGGTCATTGGTGGTGCTGAGCGCCCGTGAGTGGTGATGAGCGGTGACTAGTGGTGATGAGCAACAGAGAGAGGTGTCGAGTGGTGATGAGCGGATCTGAGCGGTGCCAAGTGCTGCAGAGTGGTTCAGAGCGGCAGTGAGCGGTGGGTGCTGGGCTGTTCTGTTGTGTGTGGTCATTGGTGGTGCTGAGTGCCCGTGAGCGGTGACACGCGGTGATGAGCGCTGATTAGGTTGGGAGCGGTGTCGAGTGGCTGTGAGTGGCTCTCGGATATTCAGAGTGGCAGTGAGCAGCGCTGAGCTGTTGTGTGTGGTCATTGGTGGTGCTGAGTGCCGGTGAGTGGTGACGAGCTGTGACGAGTGGTGATGAGCGGCTCAGAGAGGTGCGGAGTGGTGATGAGCGGCTTTGAGCGGTGCCGAGTGGTGATGAGCGGCTGTGAGTGGTGCAGAGTGCTGCAGAGCGGTTCAGAGCAGCAGTGAGCGGTGCTGGGCCGTTGTGTGCGGTCATTGCTGGTGCTGAGCGCCCGTGGGTGGTGAGGAGTAGTGATGAGCCACTCTGAGAGGTGCCAAGTGGTGATGAGCTGCTCTGAGCGGTGCCGAGTGCTGCAGAGCAGTTCAGAGCAGCAGTGAGTGGTGATGGGTCGTTGTGTGCGATGATTGGTGGTGCTGAGCGCCCGTGAGCGGTGACGAGAAGTGATGAGCCACTCAGAGAGGTGCCGAGTGGTTATGAGCGGCTCTGAGCGGTGCCGAGTACTGCAACAAGGTTCAGAGCGGCAATGAGAAGTATTGGGCCTTTGTGTGCGGTCATGGTGGTGCTGAGCGCCCGTGAGTGGTGACGAGCGGTGACGAGGGGTGATGAGCGACTAAGAGAGGTGTCCAGTGGTGATGAGCGGCTCTGAGGCGTGCCGAGTGCTGTAGAGTGGTACAGAGCGGCAGTGAGCGGTGCTGGGCCATTGTGTGCGGTCATTGGTGGTGCTGAGCGCCCGTGAGTGGTGACGAGCGGTGACGAACAGTGACGAGCTTCTCAGAGAGGTGCCGAGTGGTGATGAGCGGCTCCGAGCGGTGCGGAGTTCTGCAGCGCGGTTCAGAACGGCAGTGAGAGGTGTTGGGCCTTTGTGTGCGGTCATTGGTGGTGCTGAGCGCCCGTGAGTGGTGATGAGCGGTGACTAGTGGTGATGAGCAACAGAGAGAGGTGTCGAGTGGTGATGAGCGGATCTGAGCGGTGCCAAGTGCTGCAGAGTGGTTCAGAGCGGCAGTGAGCGGTGGGTGCTGGGCTGTTCTGTTGTGTGTGGTCATTGGTGGTGCTGAGTGCCCGTGAGCGGTGACACGCGGTGATGAGCGCTGATTAGGTTGGGAGCGGTGTCGAGTGGCTGTGAGTGGCTCTCGGATATTCAGAGTGGCAGTGAGCAGCGCTGAGCTGTGACGAGTGGTGATGAGCGGCTCAGAGAGGTGCGGAGTGGTGATGAGCGGCTTTGAGCGGTGCCGAGTGGTGATGAGCGGCTGTGAGTGGTGCAGAGTGCTGCAGAGCGGTTCAGAGCAGCAGTGAGCGGTGCTGGGCCGTTGTGTGCGGTCATTGCTGGTGCTGAGCGCCCGTGGGTGGTGAGGAGTAGTGATGAGCCACTCTGAGAGGTGCCAAGTGGTGATGAGCTGCTCTGAGCGGTGCCGAGTGCTGCAGAGCAGTTCAGAGCAGCAGTGAGTGGTGATGGGTCGTTGTGTGCGATGATTGGTGGTGCTGAGCGCCCGTGAGCGGTGACGAGAAGTGATGAGCCACTCAGAGAGGTGCCGAGTGGTTATGAGCGGCTCTGAGCGGTGCCGAGTACTGCAACAAGGTTCAGAGCGGCAATGAGAAGTATTGGGCCTTTGTGTGCGGTCATGGTGGTGCTGAGCGCCCGTGAGTGGTGACGAGCGGTGACGAGGGGTGATGAGCGACTAAGAGAGGTGTCCAGTGGTGATGAGCGGCTCTGAGGCGTGCCGAGTGCTGTAGAGTGGTACAGAGCGGCAGTGAGCGGTGCTGGGCCATTGTGTGCGGTCATTGGTGGTGCTGAGCGCCCGTGAGTGGTGACGAGCGGTGACGAACAGTGACGAGCTTCTCAGAGAGGTGCCGAGTGGTGATGAGCGGCTCCGAGCGGTGCGGAGTTCTGCAGCGCGGTTCAGAACGGCAGTGAGAGGTGTTGGGCCTTTGTGTGCGGTCATTGGTGGTGCTGAGCGCCCGTGAGTGGTGATGAGCGGTGACTAGTGGTGATGAGCAACAGAGAGAGGTGTCGAGTGGTGATGAGCGGATCTGAGCGGTGCCAAGTGCTGCAGAGTGGTTCAGAGCGGCAGTGAGCGGTGGGTGCTGGGCTGTTCTGTTGTGTGTGGTCATTGGTGGTGCTGAGTGCCCGTGAGCGGTGACACGCGGTGATGAGCGCTGATTAGGTTGGGAGCGGTGTCGAGTGGCTGTGAGTGGCTCTCGGATATTCAGAGTGGCAGTGAGCAGCGCTGAGCTGTGACGAGTGGTGATGAGCGGCTCAGAGAGGTGCGGAGTGGTGATGAGCGGCTTTGAGCGGTGCCGAGTGGTGATGAGCGGCTGTGAGTGGTGCAGAGTGCTGCAGAGCGGTTCAGAGCAGCAGTGAGCGGTGCTGGGCCGTTGTGTGCGGTCATTGCTGGTGCTGAGCGCCCGTGGGTGGTGAGGAGTAGTGATGAGCCACTCTGAGAGGTGCCAAGTGGTGATGAGCTGCTCTGAGCGGTGCCGAGTGCTGCAGAGCAGTTCAGAGCAGCAGTGAGTGGTGATGGGTCGTTGTGTGCGATGATTGGTGGTGCTGAGCGCCCGTGAGCGGTGACGAGAAGTGATGAGCCACTCAGAGAGGTGCCGAGTGGTTATGAGCGGCTCTGAGCGGTGCCGAGTACTGCAACAAGGTTCAGAGCGGCAATGAGAAGTATTGGGCCTTTGTGTGCGGTCATGGTGGTGCTGAGCGCCCGTGAGTGGTGACGAGCGGTGACGAGGGGTGATGAGCGACTAAGAGAGGTGTCCAGTGGTGATGAGCGGCTCTGAGGCGTGCCGAGTGCTGTAGAGTGGTACAGAGCGGCAGTGAGCGGTGCTGGGCCATTGTGTGCGGTCATTGGTGGTGCTGAGCGCCCGTGAGTGGTGACGAGCGGTGACGAACAGTGACGAGCTTCTCAGAGAGGTGCCGAGTGGTGATGAGCGGCTCCGAGCGGTGCGGAGTTCTGCAGCGCGGTTCAGAACGGCAGTGAGAGGTGTTGGGCCTTTGTGTGCGGTCATTGGTGGTGCTGAGCGCCCGTGAGTGGTGATGAGCGGTGACTAGTGGTGATGAGCAACAGAGAGAGGTGTCGAGTGGTGATGAGCGGATCTGAGCGGTGCCAAGTGCTGCAGAGTGGTTCAGAGCGGCAGTGAGCGGTGGGTGCTGGGCTGTTCTGTTGTGTGTGGTCATTGGTGGTGCTGAGTGCCCGT